GAAAGAGGCAAATTTGTGACATTCTTTGTCATAAGGTTTTGTGGTTCCATTTTCATGCCAAGACACCAAAACATACCAGAACGTTGCTATATTTAAATTTTAAATCTTGATATGTAATTTAATTTGACAGTCCTCTTAAGCAGCTTTTTAACACGCAGTAAGACATTGCTTTATCTTTTGCTTATCTGGCAGTTCATGAAAGCTCAAATTTTAAACAAATTTGACCAGGTGTGAATTTCAGTAATCATTAGCTTTATTTTTTGTATCAAAGTAGAGTGGTTGAAGGCTCCTCATTAACTCAGTAAATCATTCTGCTGTACTCTACAGTACAGAACAATGCTTTATAAAATACAGTGAATCTTTGTTTATCTTTAGTTTAACTGGTATGAGACACAAGAATATCTGCTACACTTGCAGTAAATGGCTATGTAATGGACTGTATGTGTGGCTCCCAATCTTATTCATGGTCTATTGTATTTGCTGTGTAGATTAAAAAAATTAGTTACAATTGACAAACACCCTATGGCTTAATCTTTGCCCGTTAATCATTTTGTTGCCTCACAGGATAAAAACCTCTCTCAAGCCATGCTAGCAAGTAGTGCGATTGAAAAATACTAGCTTAATGCTTCAAATGTAGCCACAGCCTGAAATACAAGAAAACCAATGTCTGCCTTAAAAATGTAAATCACTTATTACAGAACATCCCTTGTGTAGTAGCATAATGTGTTTATTTAATAAAATGATAAATGGTAGTGTGATGGAGGTCTCATTATATAACATTCTGGTACCTGTCCAATCCTACTTCAATCTTACGCTAGAAAGAATTAAAGAAAACTAAAGATCAAATATTTGGTGCTAAGGCAAAGATTGACAGTTAGGTTAGGTGTATTAAAAAAACATGGAATTTTCAACTACTTACCCACAAATAGTATGTGAACTGCAGTGCAAAAATAGCTATGCCTTCATTGTCAAAGGATCCTGCTACTGATCGAGATATGTAACCTGGTACTATAGCAATAAAACAGGCAGCTAAAAGCCCTGCTCCCTGGTTCCACAGTTCTCTGGTAAGCAGGAAAGTAGAAATAGCTGTAAGGCCGCTAAAAACTGGTGCTAGGAACACACATACATCTCTTATGTGGACTGTTATATTAAGCATATTTAAAATCCAATGTATAAGGCCTGCTGTCACCATCAACCCTGGGTACACCTAGGAGAGAAAAGAATATCAGACTATTAATGCAGGATTATAAAAAGCACTCATCCACTACTTGCATACAGTTTATAATAAAAATGTGCATTTCTTGGGTGAAATCAATTAAATGCAGAGAATGAGAAAAGAGCTTTTTAACCTTTCTTTAAAATGTATCTAACAGCAGCCTGCCATACTGCTTGCCATCCCCAAATGGTTTTCTGAACATACTGGCAATAGTCATTGCTTCCAAATAAACAACAAGGACACAAATGGTTAAGTCTTATCTACCCTCCAAGTTGTTAAAAGAAAGATGAACTACTGGTTCAGATACTGGACCAGGAGGTTTATATTTTATATCTAGCAAAATTGGTCAGAAAGTGTCAAGCCATCTACAAGTGCTTTAAAAAAAACCAAACAAACATTTCAAACAATGTTATGCATAATTTTCTTTGGTTAAACAGGTCTTAAAATTCTTATTTCTACCAGAGATTTTGTATGCAACTTCTTGCATACTGCTTAATCTTAAAATGCTTCCCCTTTTCTTCACACTCCCAAAGTAAGAAAATAGTAGCTTACATTTTTTTTCTGAGGACTGAAAGAATGTTTGTGAAAAATGACCTTTGAATGGGCAGTTTTCTATGTATTAATTTTAAAAGATTTTCAATAGCCTATAACTTGGGATATGAAATATCTTAAATCCTTTAGAACTGAATTAATATGCCTTCAATGAAAAGTACATCATGGATTTGTACTGATCTACTGAATCAAATATATATATTATGCAACATTAAAGAAGGCTAAAAACATTTTGGGTGTCTATACACATGCGCCAGGATAGAAGGGGGAACTGCTCTAATTAAAGCCCCCACAGCAACATGTGTATTCAGCATCCTGAACTTCAAAATGCTGGCAGGCGCACTTTAACTAAAACTCATTTGACTAGCTTAATTTAAAGCACCCCCGCCACCATTTTGAAACCCAGGGATGCTGAATGTGTGTGACGCAGAAGCTGCTGGAGCATGCTAATTAGTACACTTCAGATGCCTTGCAGCACACTTAATTAATCAAGTCTGCTCTGACGTGTGCTAATTAGCACGCATTGTAAGTCACATGTATAGGTACTCTTTAAGTAGTAGTTTTACTCTCCAACATTTAGCTACTTTGGGGATAAATGTAACAAAAATGCTTCTCTATCCCTACACATTAGAAGAGTAAAATAAATTTCAAATATCTTAACTGCTGCACAAGAAACAAAGTACAATTTTTCTGTTAAACAGACATGGGTGGTGGTAGTGTTACTTCTCATATCCTTAAGATATTTTTAGTAGATGAGTTGAGCCACAAAAGTTTAGTATGCCAAAACGTCCTATGAAATATGGTAGTAATTAATAAATATTATCTTAAAATAATCTTCTTAGTTTTAGTTTCTTCCAATAAAGAATTCAAAAAGTTATCCGGAGTTTACTAATTTTTAAGTACTGAATTATAATTTGATTTAATTTACTGCAGAATATTTCGTTAAATTCTACTTAAATGGAATTTTCCTATTATTAAAAAAAGATTCTTCAACAGGTTTTCTCTGTTGCATTTGCTTGGGTTACTCCTGTTCAACACTACAGGACTTCCCCTCAAGTAAACAACATATTACCACATTTACCTGAATCCAAGGTAACTTTAAATTTAAGATGACCCTCCAATAATTAGAGTCTACATATAGCAAATGTATAAAAGAATCTAATTATTGGAGGGTCATCTTAAATTCGTCCCCCCCCCCCCTTCTGCCACAGCATCAGGGCAAATAGTAGCTGGGGGGAGGGGGGCAGCTAGCCCCCTACTATATATGCAGCCTGAGCCCCTCCCCCCCAGTGCCAGTCCCTCCTGCTGCCCCCTGCCTGCCTTCCTATAGATTCACTTCCTGCCCCCAGCCCAGTTTCTTACCGTCAATAACTGTTTCAGCTCTATTTCCACATAGCCACGTGACACTGTCTGAGGGCAGGAACTGTTTTCCCAGCCCCCCAAACATACTGAATGTGGGGAAAAAAGCTTGTTTTGGGCACAAGTAAATGTGACAGACTACCATAGTCTGATGTCTTAAAAAAAAATTTTTTTTCTGCTCAGTAGCCCACATCCAAAGTAATCTCATTAACTTGTAATATAGTTCAGAAAATCTTTACATCTTCCCCATTTTTAACTTAAAAGTCTTTCAATAGGGGACTATCAACAGTATGTTCTAAAACACAAGAAATAATGTCCATTTAAAAATACACAGGATGCCTAGATCTTGTCTATATTATAGACCGGGGTAAGCAAAATATGACTGAGGAGGCTAGATCAACTTCCCCTTCTCTTCCCCCTCCACCCTCAGTTGGATCTGGCCTGCAGGGGGTGCCCACAAATCAAATGGATCTGGTCTGTAGCTGCTCTTGCAGTGCTCCGCATGGGGCTAAGCTCGGTGCTCCCACCCACATCCACAGCCCTGGTCAGCACATGCAGCTTCCAGTGGGGTTGTTCCCAGCTGGCTGGCTGGCTGGTGCTCAGTTCCCCTTGTCTCCAGCGGCAGTTCTTCCTCCAGCTCCTGCCCTACTCCAGACAGGCAGGAAGCTTCAGCCAGGCAACTCTTGCCCCAGTGTGTAGGGCTTTGGCTCCAGCTCCTAGCCACCTTCCACACACCTACAGATGGCTGCTCATCATGCTGGGTGGGCAGAGTGGGTGAGAGTTGGAGCCAAAGCCTGCCGGGGAAAGTGGAGCCCTATGTGCTGAGGCAGGAACCACCCAGCTGAAGCTTCCTCCCCACCTGGAGCAACATGACAGGGGCAGGAGCTGGAGGAGCTGCTGACATTGGAGGCAAGGGGAGCTGAACTACAAAGTACAAAGAGGACCTGCTAAATTCTTAATCAGAGAAGCTAAAAATTAGAATGTATCTAGTACTGCCCCCCCCAATTATACAGCATTCCATTTAGTTCTCCTTTAATTCTGTACTTTTACTGAATTTTTAAAAAACACCTTGAAACAATTATTTTTATACTTACAGTCCCACCTACTATTCTTCCCAGTGGATACCATGCTCTTTCATCAAACCAATTTAAAAATTCATAAAACCCATGGGATGCAAGGTGATGGGTTGATCTATAGTTAAACCTAGAAGAAAGGAAAGGGAAAACATTCAGAATAAAGCAAGTATTCCATATCAACATTAGTGCATCCCTCCTCTTTCTGTACATTGGGAAATATTTAGAAAGTCAATGCCCTATTCAAGCATCAAACCATAAATATAAATGAATAAGCAAATACAAACTTCATGATTAGCCTCTGTGCACACTGACATTTCTTTAGTTTTTAGAATTGATGTTCATGCTCGCATGCAGAGTATTATGTGCCTACCTTCTTTGAAAAACATTAAGATGTGTCAAAGTAATAAGTTTCTACTCTTTAGCCTTCACCTCTTTTCTTTAATCTCTGCAGCTTGAAAGCAGGTAAATCTTCATACATAATGAATTCAGATCATGGTAAAAGCTTTAAAAAGTCCTTCATTTGTAAACTACCCTACTTACACAAAAATAAGATGAACTTGAATAGAAGACAACCCACCAATAATTAGATTCTATATATGGAAAATGTACAAAGTTGTTAGAATTTTCAGGGTACAGAATCTAATTATTGGAGGTTTGTTTTGAATCTGTCACCCTCCCACTGCTACAGCAGCAAAAATAAATAAGGGGAAGGGCAGTCAGGTAGCCCCCTTATCCTCAGCTCCCCTACCTTCTTCCCTATCCTTACTATCAGATCCTACTCTAAGCATGTGGAAGTGAGGGACAAATTTGAAAACACTGACTTTGAAATAAACATGCCTGTAGTAATTTGCATATGGCCAAATTACTGTGGGTACCTACAGACTTAGTTTATCAGAATTCATGCATTTTCCCTTTTTTTGAAACTGCTGCAAGTTTTAGCACCGGTACTCCATAAACGCTCTTTTGAGCCGCACTTTGTTGTATCTACATATACAGCATGAACTATGCATGACATTAGTTCAAAGCCAAAAGGCTCAAGATTTACCATACAGTTCATTGGGCTGGCCCCAGCCAAGTCAACAGCATTTCAAGCCATTGTGACCCCATAGCTCAGCATGTGCCTGTATATTCCAGATAACTCCCACAAAGGATCATGTGTTAATTAGCCCCCACTCACAACTAGAACTAGGTGTTCCTGTTACAAGTCCTGGGGTCCCCTAAAAATTTATATTAGGGGTGCACCAATAAAGATTTTTTTTTGGCCAATACTTATGGTTGATTATTAACCAACCATATCAGCCAATACCAATCCAATAGCTGATATGCAGCCTGGCAGCTTGGAGAGCAGCGTTTGGTCAGTAAGTTTGTTGGGGAGGAAGGGGCATGGGGGATGGAAGGGGTATGAGGGGGCAGATTGAAGGCCCCCATGGTGAGGGAGGTAGTGGGGCTGGGGCTAGGGCAGGTGCTAACGTTGTCCAGCCAGGGCAGGGCAGGGTGTGGAGCAGAGCCACAGGCTGCTCATCCAGGGGCATGGTGGGGGGGACTCCTGCTGCTGTGTGCACCCCTGGGGGAGCCATGGGACCAGATGACCCTGGATTTGTGTGCGGGGCAGAGACAGGCTGCCTGCTGCAGGTTCAGGGCCAGGGGCTGCACCAGCCTCTTCCTGGCAGGGAGGCTGGGCCAGGGCTGTGCTCAGGGTGGGCGGGAACAGCTCAGAGGGGGAGCAATGGGGAATTTTGGGGTGGCTGTAGCCCACCCCATAGCCCCCCCACTCCTAGCACCGCTGCTGCCTGTGCCCCAAGCCCATGGCAGGCAGCCCACCCTTGCCCTGCACACAAATCTGGGAAACGCATACCCCACCATGCTTCCTCTGGGGGTGTGTGCAGCTGCAGGAGCCACCCTATCCTCTCGTAGCTCCATCCTGCACTCTGTCCCAGCCCCACTCCCTCCCTCACTGTGGGGGCTCCCCCCACAGACTTACTGACTAGACACTTGTCTTCAAGTTGCTGGGCTGCACTCTTGGCTGTGTGCATGTTGTGGCTGCGTGTATGCACGCGGCATTTACTGGTGACATTAAATCGGCTAAACCAGCCAAAAAAAGCTGACTGCCAATAATGTCAATTTTTTTCCTTTATCAGTGCTGATCCAATATATACCAGTATATTGGTACATCTCTAATTTATATATGCAGTTGAGATGCTGGGCAATCTGGGCTGGTTCCATCTCATGAAGGGCAGGGCCACACTAATCATATGCAACAGGCTGAAAGAGGGGGAGAGAGGGATTCTAAGTGAACTGTTTGGGGCCCCATTTGGTGATGTCAGCCAGACATTTAAGGCTAGTGAAGAAACAGGAATTATTAGGAATGGGAAGAGAGACATAGCTTGGGTACCACCTACCCAAGGTACTAACATATATCATATTCAGATGGGCTACACTAAACTATCCTTGTGGTAGGTTGCCACCAGCATGTTTGCCCAGTATGGGCCATGTGTTTTATAGTCATGTTCAGTGTTCATAGATTCATAGATGCTAGGGTCGAAAGGGACCTCAATAGATCATCGAGTCCGACCCCCTGCATAGGCAGGAAAGGGTGCTGGGGTTAGATGACCCCAGCTAGATGCTTATCTAACCTCCTCCTGAAGACCCCCAGGGTAGGGGAGAGCACCACCTCCCTTGGGAGCCCGTTCCAGACCTTGGCCACTCGAACTGTGAAGAAGTTCTTCCTAATGTCCAGTCTAAATCTGCTCTCTGCTAGCTTGTGGCCATTATTTCTTGTACCCCCCGGGGGCGCCTTGGGGAATAAAACCTCACCCATTCCCTTCTGTGCCCCCGTGATGAACTTATAGGCAGCCACAAGGTCGCCTCTCAACCTTCTCTTGAGGAGGCTGAAGAGGTCCAGGTCCCCCAGTCTCTCCTCATAGGGCTTGGCCTGCATTTAATCAACATCATCGTTGATGATCAACATTTAATCAACATCATCACTGTTTTGGCAGCAGTTTAATGATAGGCAATGTATTTAATGAGGTGGTTATCTACTTGAAGATCAGTCTAATCTGAAGGACATCTAGACAGATGTCATTAGTAGCTAGTCTTACAAATTTATACAACAAAAGAGCAAAAAGGAATTGAAATCAGATCCTGGCATCAGGAGATTCACATGTTTACATCTATTGAGCCAAATCATTAGTCAAAAGTAAGGCCGAGAATATATTTTTATTGTATTGCTTTTGGGAAGATATTCCTATATGATAAATAAGCTATTGTATAGTATAAGTGTATGTACAAGATGCCATGCGCTGTAGAAACAGAAGAATTATGATCACATAAGAAAATTCATATGAGTGCCATCAATCATTCTGACCCAGAAAGCTTCAATCAAATCAAACTGTAATATGGTATTCATACCTAATAAGCTTGCTGCTATTCCCATTTGATTAGACTGCTATATATTTATTAATTCTCTAGTTTTGAATTGTGAACTGTAATAAGATTTGTAAAATACTGTACTGTACGTGTAAAATTTAGTTTCTTACATTAGTACAGCAAAGGTTTATCACTAATATATTTAGTGCCAACAGTGTGTTCAGCACAGTATAAAATAGACACAAACCTAGTCTTAAGAAGTTTATAAACTAAACAGACACAGAACTGACATAAAATGCACCGAAAACCCAAAGGATGATTCTTATCCTAGGGTGTTGGTGATAACATATCTGATATATTAGTTTAGAAATCCTTGAATAAAGCCTCAGTCAAATTCAGTTACTACAAAAGGACAGCTAATATTTTTTTCCCCCAACAATACAAGATTATTTAAGTGGATGAAGGGGGTTAAAAGCATTTAACTACTATTAAAGTTGTACAGCTTACCTTAGAGTTACTTCTAGCCTTTAGTAGCATAATCTCATATTTTTAATAATCACAATAAATTACCAACCAACTTGGATACCAAAGTTTAGACTTTTTTTTCTTATTTTTAACATTTGTTATAATAGAATTATATCCACCACCATAAACTTTTACAGTATGCCAAGTCTCTCTAAGAGTTCTGTTCTGAACAAAATTCCACAACTGAAATTAATTCTAATAAATACATTAACTTTTTATCTTGATAAGGTCTACCAGTGGGTGTTGACAGCATCCTTACAGTTCTAGCAGATTGAAAAGCCAGATTTTAGATGTCACAGCTTTTCTGAACTACACTGTTTTATATTTTTAATCATGTAGAAATAAGCAGTGGCAACATTTAAAAACTTTTGGGAAGAAATGGGTTATTGATCTTCAGCTGAATGGTTGAGATACTGCAGTTTATATCATTAACTCAACACAGTACAGCATTTACCCTACCCTATTTCACTTTTGGGATATAATGATAATATTTGAGAAGTAGGGTGCTAACATTGAGATAAAACACCTTTTATTTAGGATGCTAAAAATGGACTAAACTTCCAGAGCTAGTGGGTATTCTCTGTATTTTAAATCAGGCCACATACAAGCCTAAAAAAGGACTTGGAAGCTTAACAATAAGCACTGCACTTTAGACTTCCTTGTTTAAGTCCGTCTGTCTCTCTCCAGGAATCTTGCAAATGAAAAAAAAATGCAAGATTTCTATATTTAGAAACCAAGTAAACTCTTACCAAATCATGATGCAAACACTGTATGCCACGTATAAATTAAATTAACTGCCTGGTTTTAAGTTTGAACAAACAAAAATATATAGGTACTTATGCTTCTTTGAGATGTGCTGTCCCAATCTAGATATGCATCTACACCAGGCATAGGCTAAACTTTTGGCAGACAGGGTGCACTGGGCCATGAATGCACTTTGAACATCCTGTCCTTGAACCCAACCTCCAAAGCAGAGGTGCTACTAGTGGTACAGGCAGCCTCTGTGTAGTACAAGGTAGATTGGAGATGGGACAGGTGGTACAGTTACGGATAGGGAAAGGAGCAGAGAATTAGATCCAGCAAGGAGTGCAGGGCAGGAAGCAGAAAGCAAAAGCAGAGAAGCATCTGGGTCAGAGAGCATAGGGCAGCAGATTGGGTAAGGAAAAACGATCAGAGTGGCATACATGTCAAAAAGGTTTGTCCCCACTGCCCCAAAGGGTAGATTGCCTTTCTTCTTCCTTGCGTTTGCTCTGCTGTAGAGCTGATATAACTACCTTTTGGGAAGAAAAACTGTAAATAGT